AGAAAAATGAAGTGTTATAGATTCTATGGGAGGCAATGAGAGAACTGGGACTCAACTGAGAATAGGTAATAAGAAATGYTCTCATGCTATTTATTGAGAAAGGGACAAAAGAGCAAGATGATAGAATTTTGAGTTCCCATTCCCTGTTTCACGTGTGGCCCTATAATAGATGTTCAGTAAAGGGTTGTTACAGGGATGAATAAATCTTTAATCTTCATTCTGCAGAAGAAATGAAAGCTTAGGAGCAGAGCTGGGGTTTGAACCCAGGTTTGCTTATTCTCAATCTGTTGCATAACAAGTTGCTCCTGTATTGTGGTGCTTAAAGCTACAATATATTATGGAAAATAAAAAATTTCATCTGTTTTTCTGGTCTTGGTTGGAGTCTCAGGTGGCTGAAGTCAGATGGTGGCAGGGGTTGGAACACATAATGTCTACTTTCTTGGCAGGGGCAGTTGAAAGACTGGACCTCTCTTCCTCTCCATGCATGTAGTCTCACAGCCTCTGAGGTTGTCTCACCAGCAAAGTAGGTAGACCTCTTATGGGGCAACTACAAGGCTCCCAACAGGACAAAGCCTACTTGACACAGAATAACTCCTGCCACATACYACTGGCTAAAGTTAGAGACCCAGCCCAATTCAAAGAATGATACAGGACCTGATACACCAAGGCATGGATCGTTGGTAGCCATTTTTTGAGACTAGCTACCACAGGTGTTCCTGGGATATTATGGCCCATAATTTGTCCATTACCTCATGCCACTATGAGCACTCACAAATAGAACACAAATGGATAATCTACCTTAAAAAGACTGTTCTGGCAGTAGAGAAGAAGATAGCTTAGATGAGGGAAATCAAAGGTTTTGTAAAAGTCCACTCTGGTGGTGGTAGTGAGCATATCAAACAGCCTAAGGGGAAGGAAGGGACAGCCTACATCACACACTGCAGGTGCCCACTGGGTCAGGATTATAAGTATCAGCAGGAGATGCCATAATGAAGAGATGGAGGAGAGGAAGTCATAGAAATACTTTATTTTAGTATTTACACCATACCTCCATTCAATCACAAGCATTTGTATCTCACTTTTCAAAGTACACACTTTTCTTCAGTCAGCAAACTACTTCATTGCAGCATCCTTGAAGCCAGCAGGCTCAAATCTGCCCAAAGTATAACTGAGGTAATCTTTTGGCTCACTGAATGATTATCAGGTTATTTTTATATCCTGAATTAATACACAGAAGTGCAAGTATATACACATATATATAAAAATGAAAAAACGAATTTATGTGTATAACAGTGTATATACACTGTATATAGAGATATATAGATTTATAGCTGAAACAGAAATCTCACAATAACATACTCCTTACTCTATTTGACATACACTTACTTCTTATTCTCTTTATTCTGATTTTTAAACTACGGGTCATGAATGAACAAATTATTTCTGCAATCTAGTGTTGTTATTTTTGTGTGTGTGGTACTGGGGATTGAACCCAGAAGTGCTATACTACATTTCCAGTTCTTTTTTAAAATTTTATTTTGAGATAGGATCTAAGTTGCCCAGGCTAGCCTAGAACTTGTGATCCTCCTGCCTCGGCCTGGGATTACAGGCGAGTGCCACCACACCCTTATTCTGCAATCCATTCATGGATTCTGTTTTCTTGAAAATTCTTTCCTTAGTGGATAAGTACCTGTAATCYCAAAAAGATTAGGATTAACTATTGAAACAAGTAAATCAAAGTCATAGCATTATTTTCCATTAGTCTGAAATCATCCATTTAATTTCGCATGTTAAACATTTGTAATGTTTGAGACTCTAAACACACTAAAGTATGTAATATGTTAAATTTTGCAATTCCATTTTTAAAATGAAAATACAGTAACTGATTCAGACTAGTGATTATAAATCGATATGTATATAACAATTTAACCACACCTCTAAGTAAWATTGAGATTGAGATTTTTAAGATTTACAATCATACTTTTAGATTTAACATATCAGTGGAACTAAGTTCTTGRATTTTTTCAAGTCATTGAGTCGTTTAAGAAGAAAATAAAAATACATTAAAGTTGTAAATGTGATTTATAGAATTTAACTTATCTTAAAATCCCCTTAGAATTAAAAAAAAAACAGGGTAYATACTACTTAAGAATAACCAGGTTTTGCGTTTATAATTTTAATATTAGTTATTGAAAGCAAAAGTAATTTTAAAATCGTCACCCGAGTGCCAAAAGCCGCCCTACAGGACAAGAAAGCAGCTGCCATTCACTCAGAGCTACCGGAYGCCACACGAATTTAGGGCCGCTCTCCAGACTGTGCGCAACACGTGGCCCGCAGAAGAGGCTGGTCCTGTGAAGCAAGGCAAGAAATCGGCCTAGGAAGATATGGGATCGCCTTTCCTTTCTACGGCATTGCCAGCCATCATCATTTTTTGATTGAATAATACTAAATAAAATGTAAAAGCATGAATAAGCCGCGAGAAGCCATGTTTCCTGCAGGGTCTGCGTCAGAGCGCCCCAGGCCAGGCTCCGGTCCCTGGCAAGAGGGGAGGGCGCGCGGACCACGGGGTTCACGGGGTTCCCTGGGTGGGGGTGGAGGGCACTTGCAGCCGGGGCGTGGGAGAGTGTCTGGGGTTCCCAAGTCACCAACGCGGCGGGAAGCCGGCTCTGCAAAGCTCCAGCCTGGAATGGTCACCTTGGCCCAGATGGTGCCTCCCGCCCCCCGACTTCAAAGAGCTCTCTCGCCCTCCACTTATACTGTAAAACAGGAGTGATCCCACTACTAGGAAAAGAGCCTTTTCAAACCGTTTTGGGCCTGCAGGCCAAGACGGCTTCCGCGCGTCCCCGGCAACCGCACCCGCCCGCGCAGCCGCAGAGGCCAGAAAAGCTCCGCCGGCTCGCGCTCGGCACCACCTCCGCCCGCCCTCGCGGCCATACCACTCCAGCGGACCCCTCTGAAGTCCGAGAATGGTGCCTTCCCTAGCCTCTGATTGGCTAATCGGTAGAGGGCGTGGCCTCTGGATCCTGGTTCCGCGCGCTAGAGCCTGCTAGCCGCATTGCGAGCCGGGCAGGGAGCAAGCGCCATGGTGAGGAGTGGTTGTGGGTTGTGGGTGATGTGAAGGCCGTGGTTTAGGTCTGGATTAGAGTTTGAGCCAGGGCCTAAACCAGGGCCTGCTCTGGGAGCGGGGTCGGGACTCGTGGGCCTAGCTGACTTTTGCGCCCCGACTCTCGTTCCAGGTTTTGCTACACGTGCTGTTCGAGCACGCGGTAGGCTACGCGCTGCTGGCGCTGAAGGAAGTGGAGGAGATCAGCCTGTTACTGCCGCAGGTGGGTGARATGGGTGGGCTAGCCCGGCTGCACTGCAGCCCCTGGGGCCTTCGAACCCCAGCATGCACCGCGCGCTCCCACGTGGCCGGCCGCGCGGGTTAGGGAGGGCTAGACAGGGAAAGCAAGCTCTGGAGCAGGGGGTCTTTACCSTGACTCACGGTTAGAATCGCTTAAGAAGCACTTAGAAATAAGCCCCCAGATTCCGCCTCGAATGGATTAAAGCTGAACCCGAGATGTGGGKGTGAGGCTTTGGCATATTTTAATAATGTCTAGGGCTGATAATTGCTACTCTGCTGCACCGCAGAGGCTAGAGTGAAGGAAGGAAACCATACATCCTCTTTTGTCCCCACAGGTGGAGGAATGTGTGCTCAGCCTGGGCAAGTTCCACAACATTGTCCGTCTTGTGGCCTTTAATCCCTTTTCCTCATCCCAGGTTGCCTTGGAAAATGCCAATGCGGTGTCTGAAGGTGAGTTGGCCGCAGCCAAATCTTTCAAGGAGATAGTGAGATGTGGTTCCTGCTGATACTCTATTGGAGGGTTTATAGTATTTGCTTTTCTACATTTGGATTGTTTGTGCTAGACAGTATTTGTGACCTGAAGGATGTAATTTAAAAACACATAATCCAGGATGTAGGTTTTATGAACTTGTGGGCACTGTAGAGAAAACTGATTCCTAAAAATTGGGGGTGGGAGGGCTATGCTTAAGTTTAAACACTAGTCTGGGTCTCTAACTTTCAATTGACTAGAAAGTTAAATTTTGGTAAATGTAGGTAAGCAAATGGGATTTGGTCCCTGAAGGCTAATAAGGTAGTAATATGTATTTTTCAGTTATGTRTTTTACACGTATGCATTTTACACATGCTATTGGACCTGAGTCCAGTTCCTCCATGGTTGATCCAGGCTTTGCAGTGATGACTTGTAAATCTGTCAATCCCCTGAGTGTGATCATTGATGTCTCAATGTCTCTGAGCAATGCCTGAATGGGAGAGGTCTAGGCATGTCATCCCAGCATGCTTCCAGGRGACCAGCATGATCAGCTGAGCTTTTACAATTCAAACATCCTTCACCATCTTAGTGGGAACTATTTTTTTTTTGCCTTGAGGCATTGTTCATGAGGACCTCCGCCTGCTCCTGGAGACCCACCTGCCATCCAAAAAGAAGAAAGTGCTTTTGGGGGTTGGGGATCCCAAGATTGGTGCTGCTATACAGGAGGAGTTAGGGTACAACTGCCAGACTGGAGGTGTGGTAGCCGAGATCCTGCGAGGTGAGGCTCTCCTGCCATTTTTTGACATCTTTAAGAGGGGTYTAAAACTTGCTTGAGGTTGCAGCTTCCTGCTTGCTCACAGTCCTGCTCCCCTTTTAGGAGTTCGTCTGCACTTCCATAATCTGGTGAAGGGTCTGACCGACCTGTCAGCTTGTAAAGCCCAACTAGGGCTGGGACACAGCTATTCTCGTGCCAAAGTTAAGTTTAATGTGAACCGGGTGGACAACATGATCATCCAGTCCATTAGCCTCTTGGACCAACTGGATAAAGACATCAATACTTTCTCTATGCGTGTCAGGTAAGGGGCCACCCTTGATGGTGGAGTCTTTGGCCTATAGTTTAGGCAACTATCAGCCCTCAAATTGGAGCTGACAATCTTGTGGATAGAAGAACTGAGTAGGCTGGAGCTGGGCCTCCTGATGCTTACCACAGGCTGTGTTCTTACGCTGACTGTATAGAAAGGGGAGGCAGAGTAAGCATACCCCATGTACACCTCAGCCCAGGCTCTGTGCCTGGTCTGCATTGTGAATGGGGAAACATGGAATTGCTGGAGGGATTTGAGTCTGAGTTGTTCCATTTYCTCCAGGCAGAGAGGGCTAAAACTACAGCTTTATATAGACATGGCAGCTAGGTCAGGAAGTGATTATACCTTTTTGCAGGGAATGGTACGGGTATCACTTTCCAGAACTGGTGAAGATCATCAATGACAATGCCACATACTGCCGCCTTGCCCAATTCATTGGAAACCGAAAAGAACTGAGTGAGGAAAAGTTGGAGAAGCTGGAGGAGCTGACAATGGATGGGGCCAAAGCTAAAGCTATTCTGGATGCYTCACGGTCCTCCATGGGTCAGTGCAGAGTCCGGCAGCTAGCATAAGGTATGGGACTGAATGTCTGGCCCCTCTGTTCACACTAGGTGTTTCCTAGGCATGGACATATCTGCCATCGACTTGATAAACATCGAGAGCTTCTCCAGTCGTGTGGTGTCTTTGTCAGAGTACCGCCAGAGCCTACACACTTACCTGCGCTCCAAGATGAGCCAAGTAGCCCCCAGCCTGTCAGCCCTAATTGGGGAAGCGGTGCGTCATGGGGAATACAAAAGTGGGGGATTAGGATTGTTACCATTCTGCACTGCTATACTTCCTGACTGACCCACCATATATATTCCCCAGTTGTGCCTGATGGGGGGTAGAAAGCAGGGGTTATTTGAATGACAAGTCAGCAATTCCCACTTCTGAATTCTTCCTTGAATCTTTTTCCAGGTAGGTGCACGTCTCATTGCTCATGCTGGCAGCCTCACCAACCTGGCCAAGTATCCAGCATCCACAGTGCAGATCCTTGGGGCTGAAAAGGCCCTATTCAGGTACCAGTGAGGGCACCTGCCCATATCAGGTGCCACTTCTGGTGCCCTCTACTTGTTTGGGGATCACAGTGATGGCTGACCGGGGCTCCCTGACCTATACAGGCCTCTGCTATGGGGGTGATGGCCAGTCCTGGTGTCTGAGTGATTCCTAGGGCCCAGCAAAGGGACCAAGTTTCCAGGTCAGCGACATTGTTTGCCTTCCCTCTGCCTCTGGGAGCTATGGGTTAGCTTGTGTTGGGGTCTAGCCCAGCCTGAAGCACACTCTGGAGACTTGGAGGGGAGGGGATGGGAGGAGCTGCTAATGGGGTTGAAATTTCTGATCTTAAACTCTCTGCTGAATATTCTCAGAGCCCTGAAGACAAGGGGTAACACACCAAAATATGGACTCATTTTCCATTCTACCTTCATTGGCCGAGCAGCTGCCAAGAACAAAGGCCGCATCTCCCGATACCTGGCAAACAAATGCAGTATTGCCTCACGAATCGATTGCTTCTCTGGTATGGGTGAGGAGGTTGGCACTTWTGGGTGAGGGGCTGGGAACCGGGGAGGCAAACTACCCTAGCAGCTTCTACAATGATGGTTAATATTTTTCGTCAACAGCAGTTCACCTAGTGAGTGTTGATAACTCTGGGTCTGAGTAAAGCTGAGGGTAGAGGGAATACTGGGAATGGGGGTGGGGGTAGTTTGTCCCTTTGAGGGCTGACAGRCTTTGTTTACTTAAACACACACATCCAGAGGTTCCTACAAGTGTATTTGGGGAGAAGCTTCGAGAACAAGTTGAAGAGCGCCTGTCCTTCTATGAGACTGGAGAGATTCCACGGAAGAATCTGGATGTCATGAAGGAAGCAATGATTCAGGTCAGTTTGGGCTTTGTAGGGTGGTAGAGAACTCTTAAGTAGCTGTTGGAGATGATGAACCATCTTGCTTGGCCTGACCTTGTGAAGTGGAGGCAAAAACAAAAACTGATTTAATGAGCCTGATCCAATAAAGAAAGAGGTGACTATGGTAAGCCAAGATCTTCAGGCCTTCTCAGAACTTCTTTTTTGCCAGGCAGAGGAAGCGGCTGCTGAGATTGCCAGGAAACTGGAGAAACAGGAGAAGAAGCGCTTAAAGAAGGAGAAAAAGCGATTGGCTGCACTTGCCCTGGCATCTTCAGGAAATAGCAGTAGCACTCCAGAGGAGTGTGAGGTCAGTCCACCAGATCCACTCTSAGAAGTTTTTAGGTTGGATTCTCCCAGCAGAACAAAGGATGTGCCATGTCAAGCCATGGTCTGGTGTCCAGGCTTTTGGACCAAATCTCTTTAACTACCTCTTGATTCTGTAGGAAGGAGATAGGTGCTGAGAGAACTTGCTCAAGAGCCCAGAGCTGGCTGTAGCACACACCTGTTTCCTGGGCAAGTGTGCTCTGTCCTCCGCAGCCTCCCAGGAGTCCTCAACCGGGGGTAGTATCAATGCCTGCTCTTGTTCTCAGATGTGTGTCCAGAAGTTTGTGTTCACAGTGGGGGTGGGGACAAAGGAGCTAGCTCTTCAATGCACCAGGTTAGAATCATTTCCTGTTTTYGTTTTTAGTGCCTTTTGTGACCATTTCAGTCTCTTCTCTGGAACTTACATGATCACTCTAGTGTAACCAGCATGGTTTCCTATAGRTTACTTATACAAATTTATTTAGAAAATTTTTTTACAAGCCTTCCAGTTCTGACTTCTGACAGTAGATGTCCAAAGTTAGACCCACACCATTAARCAACCATCCCAAAAGCACTGGGCAGTTGGTTTTCTGCTGCATCTTAATGGGGGGGGGTTGCACATACCATAGATAACACTGTCCTTATGCCTGTTTGCCCCTTTTCCCCTTTAGGAGATGAATGAAAAACCCAAAAAGAAGAAAAAACAAAAGCCCCAGGAGGTTCCTCAGGAGAATGGAATGGAGGAGCCATCTGTCTCTTACACCAAACCCAAGAAAAAGAGATCTTTTTCCAAGGAGGAATTGGTTAGTAGTGATCTTGAAGAGACAGCTGGTGGCAGCACAAGTCTTCCAAAGAGGAAGAAGTCTTCACCCAAGGAAGAAACAGCTAGCGAGCCTGAGGAGGTGAGCAGGAGTGTCTCCAAGAAAAAGAGGAGATTCTTTTCCAAGGAGGAGCCAGTCAGCAGCGGCCCTGAAGAGGCTGCTAGCAGCAAAACCAGCACCAAGAAAAAGAAAAAATTGCACAAAGCATCACAAGATTAAAACGGACATTCCTTGGGGGGAGGGGCATACCCCAAGGTGACTTCCCACCCCATGTCCCAAACCCCAATAAAAACAAATTCACAAAAGCTGATATGCATGTTTTATTGGTAAACACCTTACAAGAATATGGGCAGGACCTATGGGTGGGGTAGGGCAGCAATGACAGCCTCAGTGAAGTCGTGGCAAGTGGCATAGCCACCCATATCAGAGGTTCGAACCTGTGGGGGAGAAGTGTCATCATCCTGTGACCTAGGTCCCACCCCTTAAAACCCCCACCGCCCAGTATCAGTATAAGTTCCCTAAGGAAGCCAGCCCCAGGACAACCTAGGCTCTGCCCAGAAATCAATTATGGTCCACTGTCTAGAGGTTCAAGGTGTCTTCCCTGGTCCACTGTACTGAAGGGATGTGTAGGTAGTATGGTCCTTGTGAGGTTGGAGGGAATWAAGAGCTCTAGACCCCATGGGGATGCAGGTGGCCGATGACAGACTTGATGAAGTCGGTTGTGGTGCTGTAGCCGCCCATGTCTCGAGTCCGMACCTACAGCCACCATCAGCAATAGCCGTGGGGAAGAAGAGAAGAGAGCCCATGAAGGGAGATAAGGGCAGCATAGTCAAGGAGATGGAACCCAAGAAAACAGATGGCCAAAAAGAGGATGCAATGCAGCAGGGATGAAAGGAGGTAGCCAGGTGAGGAGCAAATTGCCCACTCTTCTGAGCCACTAGGAAAACTGCTGCAAGGTAGGATGGAAGGCTGAGCAGGAAGTGAGATGGAGAAGTGCACATCAGGATGAGGTTACCTTGGAGGAAATAAGGAGACAGACCAGGTARGAGAAATGGAGATGAAGATTGGGCTCCCAGGCATGGACAAGATGAAGCTGGTGCCTCATCCTGACTGCCTCTCCCTCCATTGCTCCACCCCCAGAGAGAGAACTGCAAGTTCCGCATTCAGATGACCATRAAAAGGGCAATGGATGGAGCAGCAAAGAGGGAACAGCAGATGGGAACTAAAARAGGCAGAAAAGACCAAAAGGATGAAACAGCCAAGAGAATGGGGGTAAGAACAGCCCTGAGGAGGTCACAGAGCAAAAGATGTTCTGGGGACCTGGAGAGAAAGGAGACTCCTTGCAGGTTCCCCAGAGAGCAGTAACAAAACCTTGAACCAGCACCTTTCTAAACTCACCTTGCCAACTTTGATCACCTTCTTCACTGCATCTGCAATCATGCTGGAGTGATACTCAAGGCTGTCAATGTAGACAAGAAGAAACTTAAGATTGCCCACAACACTGTCACCTGTTTTCCCACCTATGCTCCCCTTACAACAACCAGCCTCCACCCGCTGCCTCCGTGACCTACTTGAGATGCCGTAACATGTTGGAAGCTGACAGCAGCATGGCTGTGGGGTTGGCTATATTCCTGCCCACTGCCTGAGCAAATGGGTGCCGGGCACCCTATGGAGAGAGGGGCAGGCCAGAGTTACTGGGAGGAAGCAGGCATATGCCAAGGCTGAGAAAGAGTATGATGGGAAAGAGTATGATGGGAAAGAGGGAAGGCAGGCCAGGGTCACTGAGAAGTGGGAATCATTGCATGCGTGGAAATGAGAGGAGACCTGAAGTAGGAGAAAGGACAGGTATAAATGACAAAAGGAGAAAGTGACCTCACTCACCGTCTCAAAAACTACATACTCTGCACTGTAGCTCTCACCAGGGACCACACCAGCTCCCCCAACCAGGCCAGCAGCCAGATTGTCAATAATGTTGCCATAGAGATTGGGCATCACAAGCACATCAAACTGGTAGGGATTCTGCACCAGCTAYGAAGTGAGATGTGGGCATGAAGAAGAGAAGTGAATTCTACTCCTTGCCCTTTCTCAGCATCATGAGAGTAGAGACATGGGGAGAGGGACTTACCTGCATGCAGCAATTGTCTATGATCATTGTCTCAAACTTGATTTTGGGGT